GCCAAGTCTGTCTAGTCTATCTGTCTGTCTGTCTGTCTGTCTGTCTGTCTGTCTGTCTGTCTGTCTATCTATCTATCTATCTGTCTATCTGTTTGTCTGTCTGTCTGACTACCTACCTACCTGTCTGTCTGTCTGTCTGTCTGTCTGTCTATCTATCTATCTGTCTGTCTGTCTGTCTGTCTGTCTGTCTGTCTGTCTGTCTGTCTGTCTGTCTATCTATTTATCTATCTATCTGTTTGTCTGTCTGTCTGTCTGTCTGTCTGTCTATCTATCTATTTATCTATCTATCTGTTTGTCTGTCTGTCTGTCTGTCTGTCTGTCTGTCTGTCTGTCTGTCTGTCTGTCTGACTACCTACCTACCTACCTGTCTGCCTGTCTGTCTGTCTGTCTGTCTGTCTGTCCGTCCGTCCGTCCGTCCGTCTGTCTGTCTGTCTATCTATCTATCTGTTTGTCTGTCTGTCTGTCTGTCTGTCTGTCTGTCTGTCTGACTACCTACCTACCTGTCTGTCTGTCTGTCTGTCTGTCTGTCTGTCTGTCTGTCTGTCTGTCTGTCTGTCTGTCTGTCTGTCTGTCTGTCTGTCTGTCTGACTACCTACCTACCTGTCTGTCTGTCTGTCTGTCTGTCTGTCTGTCTGTCTATCTATCTATCTACCCATCTATCTATCTCAACAACAGTGCTGAGTAAAATGTTAAAATTTCATGCTTCATGTTCATGTCTTAAGTTTCTTCAAATGCTTCAACTTCTTTCGGTTTACGTCATATTCCTGCTAACACACTTGGAGATATTATCATCTGAGGCACATAGCTCTCTGTGGGGAGGAAAAACTAGTCAGTTCGCTTGCACAAATTTGAAGAAGAAGAGCATTAGAGAAGAAAATGGTAAGAAAATAATCATTCACATTTATAATTAAACACCTTATAAGTGCCATATGCTTTATGTTTTAAATCTTCTAATGATTTTTCTTTGATTTGTTCATTAAGCCTCTTTATTGTGATCGTCCATTTGAGTATTAGTAGACTTTCTGCTTAATACATTGATACTGCTCCTTCAACAGACATTTAACTTAGCAAGTACATGCCAACTTACACTAACCCCAATCTAACAATCTACTTATAATCTAATGAGAATTAGTTGGCATGTAGTTGCAATGTAACTTAAATTCAACAAACGGACCATCAAAATAAAGTGTGTCTGACTTTTTTTTTTAATGCTGGGTGGTTTCAATCTAAATTAGTTAAATACGGACAAACCTGGTCTCAATCATTAGGCTAAAACTGATTAAAACTGGGTTTGTCAGGTTTTGTATTTCTAAATTCACAGGTATTTTCTCTCGATAATGTAGTTATTATGTGATTTTTATCTCTGCTGTGAGTTTACTTTTGAAGTTAAAAATTCAACAAGGAAGTTTGAGTGAGTTTATAGACATTTTAATAGTTTAAAACTGTATATTGTATAAGAGATAATAGAATTAATAAAATAACAGTACTGGAAGTTTTCTAACAGGTTTTGTACAGTAATTTACATTACTAAACAGACAATAAATCACTTTAAACTATTAAAAATATCAATAAAAGTCAATTTTTCTAATCTTTTTAACACCAGAAGTTGCTGGAGGAAAGATCAAGATCCCATAATGCAATTCCAAAACATAAATAAATAAATAAAAAACATCTGAATCACAAAATATGGAAATGTTTTGCAGTGAACCCAGCATTTTTAGTTTATGCAATTCCTTTTTGTAGTATTTTTAGTATTTTTTCAATAATAATCATATATTTTGGAAAAGTAAAACAGTAAAATACTAATAAACAGCTTGAAAATTATTGAAAAAAAGCAAATAGATTTCTCGTGTGTTCCAAACTATAGGCATCACAATCCTGTGATAAATGCGGCTTGATGAAATACTACAATGGGCCATTACCGTATGTATCAGCTGAGTATTGCATTTCAAATGTAGTCATTTTTACTGATATAAGTCTAATATACTTCATAAATGTATCAATTCTTATGATTTATTTTTTTTTGAAGGTATAAATGTAAGTGTAACCAGGCGGAGCAATCAGGCTTCCCAGCTCTTACGGTAAGAATTTCAATAAAAAGTCTAAATGAGAACTGAGAGGAAAAAATTTTCTTGAGAGTTTTTCAGTGCTTATCAAGTCAACCTAGCTGAAACTGATTCTTGCATTTCCTCATATTCCACATATTTTCTCCTAGATGAACAATGAGCTGGTTCCATCGTACAGTAACAACAGCCATGCTCTGATGAGGCAGCCAGGAAATGGCACAATGACTCGATATCATGAGAACGTGGAGCAAGGCATTCAGACATATCAGCGTGTGGTCAAGAGGAACGGCCGAGTTGTAGAAACTGAATATGTGATTTATGAAAATAATTGAAAGTTACTCGATGAGGTTTGGGTCCCTAAATAAGGTCATTAATGTTAATGTATTTACTAAAATGAACAAACAATGAACAATACATTTATTACAGGATTTTTAAAATCGGTATTAAATGAAAATAAAGTTACTTGTTGTTAGTTCTAGATTGTGACCTTGTGAGTGCATTAACTAATGTTAAAAGGTACAACAAAGTAAATGCTAAAAATTAGCATTATTACACTGTAAAACCAAAAACATTAGGGTAACGCAAACTGTTTGAGGAAACCAATAGCAACAAACCATTTAAGTTCAAAAACTGATCCTAATGAGTACTGTGAACTTAATCCATTTGAGTAAATGAAGCATATATATATATATATATATATATATATATATATATATATATATATATATATATATATATATATATATATATATATATATATATATATATATATATATATATATATATATATATATATATATATATATATATATATATATATATATATATATATATATATATATATATATATATATATATATATATATATATATATATATATATATATATATATATATATATATATATATATATATATATATATATATATATATATATATATATATATATATATATATATATATATATATATATATATATATATATATATATATATATATATATATATATATATATATATATATATATATATATATATATATATATATATATATATATATATATATATATATATATATATATATATATATATATATATATATATATATATATATATATATATATATATATATATATATATATATATATATATATATATATATATATATATATATATATATATATATATATATATATATATATATATATATATATATATATATA